GAGCAACCCGAAGTTCCTCCTCCGATGACTATGTAATCAAACCGAGCGAACATTGGTGCCGATGTTGCATCTTTCATAAAACTGTAATAGCCAGCTTCACGAAAAAAGAACAAAATATTCACTGTATTAATGAATATTTATCGTCACACATTGAATGATACGTAAAAGAAACTATACCTTTATCTGGCAAACACGAGGCATGGGAGATGTATGTTACGATGAAAATTATGCGAAATAACCATAATCTTTGTAAACCCATTATGGGTGAAAGATTAAGTTTGATTCTTTATATTTAGAGTAGAGCAAAAAATAAGAATAGGTTTGATAGGGTTTATATAATAAGATGAAGCATAAGCCTCTTTTCGTTTGCCTTTATGAGAGGAAGCTTTTATGGTTCACCAGCACATATTTATTGATCATAGAATCATACAAAGATTTTAGGGTCTTGGTTATTTTATTTTAATGAACAAGGAATGTTCTTGTTTCTCGTATGTTTTATTATTCGAATCTCTGCAATTATAATATAGCTAAATTAATAGTTACGTACAATGAAATTCGATCAAAAATGTTAAACTATTTTGACTATTAGTTTTAACTAAATGTCAAATAGAAAATAGTTAATGGGTGATTAGGTAAAAGTAGTAAGTAACACATCATTATAAATTTCTTTAATCTTAATATAGCTAAATTAAGAAGCACGAAAATGAAATATGATCAAATTCGATTTGAACTATTTGATGAGTACATGTCAAATAGAGAAATAATTAATGAGTGTTAGCCTGTTAGGTGTGAAAGTAGTAGTTACACATCAATTATAATTTTATTTGTTTGATCTCTTGCATGAAAAGATCTTATCGCAACAACCTCTAATTATCGATATGCATAAAAATCATAGTGCAATACCTTTTTAAAACAAATTATAATGTCAAAACTTTTGCGGTTGGGGTTTAGGGTTGTCTTTGTAGCAAGATTAATGTCATAGTTATTCAATGATTACAAAATAATAAATGGTCCTTAAAAAATGTGCTATATTCCATTATCCCATAACCCATTTTTATTCCCGTATGGAAAAACAAAGCAATAGGCAATTAACTGGTGTCCGTCGTTAACAGAGAAATAAAAGTTAAATGAGTTATGCAAAAGTTACTTGCTAATTTTGTACTCTAATTGATTTGATCTGATTTATGAAAATTATAGGACCAACACAAATAGAAAGAAGTTAGCTCCAACTGCGGACTGCCC